CACAAGGGTCGGTGTTAGGCCCGCTTCTATTTCTGTTGTTCATAAATTATCTAGCAGTAATTGCCAGCTCACCTTGATTCATCTTCGCTGATGATGTAAAGGTGGTTGGATCTAGTGGAAGAGCCGACTCAAAAGAGGATATTGCAAATGTGGTCAGGTGGTCCCACACATGGGATCTGCCACTAAATGCAATAAAGCGTCAGTTGCTCTCTAGAACCGGGGAACCATTGAAGGCTCTCGGGGACTGGGGGCAATTCGAAGTGGGCGCTGTAACCAGTGCCAGGGATCTATGAGTCATCGTAACTGCATATTACAGTTGAAGTTCCCAATATGAAGCTGCAGCACACATGGAAAGACGACAGCTGTTTCGACTAAGGTCAGCAGTTTCGTGTAGGAAAGCAGAAGTATTTATGCCCATATACAAAGCCATCGTAAGGCCTCACCTAGAATACTGTATCCAGGCTTGGTCAACCTTCTACAAAAAGGATGCAGCCTGTCTGGAGAAGGTCCAGAGACTAGGAACAAGGATGGTTGAGGGTATGCGGGGTAAACATACAAAGAAAGGTTGGACACGCTCGGTCTTTTTTCGCTAGAAAAAAGGAGATTGCGTGGAGAACTCATCGAAGTATTTAAGACTACGAAAAATTTGCCGGGTTTAGATCCGGGGTCCTTCTTCACTGAGGCTTCTCACCAAGGAACGCGTGGACATGAGCTCAAACTTATGGAACAGCGTTCTAGGCTAAACTTACGAGCACATTTCTTTGGAAATAGGGTGGTGGAAAATTGGAATAAGCTACCGTCAGAACTGTTTATGCAGCCAAACGTCCAAGCCTTTAAAAGATCCCTGGACGACAGATGGTTGGAGGTCTTCCCTGACATAGAATATTAGGCGTATTAATTGTTTTTATGTAATACGGGATGCTTTCCCAACAAAAGTCTCTCGCCGACACGGCGAGAAGTAAAGTCTCTCTTTCTCTCTGTTTGCAGATAGAAAGAGAAACCGATCAATCGCAGAGGTGGACGCACACTCGTGAGCACACCGCAGAAGGAATTCTGGATGCTTGATTGGCCTGTGGCCACTACCAATCCTGTGCAACCTGACCTGACCTAACCTGAATAATGGCTTGGTCGAAAATTGTTGTTTGACTACGCACTCTTGTTATTGTCTGCGCAACCGGCGGCTTAGTGTAATTTTCTCACATTGCTTCGGTAAAAATGATTGATGTCGAAGTTAGGGGCCGTTTTGGACAATACATTAAGGTAAAAATGGAAAAAATATATAGAGTGATTTTCAGGCCGTTTTGTGCAACGTTGTTAATGATGAGGCCGTTGTATCTTATCCCAAAAGGTAAATTATTTTTGGGTAAAAAATAATTTTTGCAGCCAACAAGAAGAACGTGTCCGGCTCACAGAAGTTCGATTGCCTCCCAGCGAAACTGGGTGAGTACCCAATGATCTATCTTTAGTGTTCCTTGAATGCTGTTGTGGACTGACTATTCTTCTGTTTTCACCTTGACGCACAACCATTAGTTCATTTAGTCTAGCGTATACCAGATAACTGGATGACATTTTCCTATGCTAATGAAGTCGGTAACTGTTGTCACAAAATTTTGTGCGGTGCTGACGATTGTACTCCATCCAAATGCAGCTTATCATATCCAACATATGTTGGATTTGGTATATATTGACTTTTGACAATAATCCTCGAATTATGACAATGAATCTAAATACATATCCAGTGAGGTTAGCGATTTTGAAGGGAACAGTATTTATCGAAGCTACCGTGAGTGTCTATGTAACTTTTTTCAAAAGTCGTTCGCGTATTGTCTTCGAATAAGTCGAGAAATTCATCCAGTTTTCACACAAGACATGGTTGTGAACGATAGCCAGACAGCAAAAGAAGAATCGGTTTAGGAACAGATGTATAGCCCAATACCATAGAAGCGTCCAAAAAGAGAGAGATTGCTAATCGCATGCACTGTCGACTCTCCGAGGATCCTATGCGGTACTGTTCAGGATCCTCCGCGATCGGTGTACCGATCTTGAGGTGGTTAACGGAAATGGAAGAGCAAATTCTAACCAGTATATCGGCAATCCCAACAGTCAATACGATAGTCAGAATGATAGAAAACTGCTGGTTTCGAAGAAGTGATTTCATTCAATACTTACTTTTTGGAGTCCATTTAGTGCGTTCTCCAATATTTCCTCCACGACTAAATTAGTCAGGAACGGCGAAACAGGGCACGTTGATGAACGCTGATGGTGAACGGCCCACTTAGTTGGTTATAAACCCGAGGTATGTGAGCACAGTGACCTCAGTAGGTAACTTCTTAAGCATTCCTTTTTGAAGAAGGGAACTCGTCAGAGCTCCGCAGTCAACTGAGTCGAAAGCTCCTTTCAGTTCAAGGAACACTGCTGTCGTCGGTCGCCGGTGGGCGCGACGCAGCTCAAGGACCTGACGCAACGTAAAAATCTGAATAATATATCCACGGTCAGTCTGGAATCCGGCTGGCTGTCCACGAATGTTGGTCTCTCTTAAAGGCGTCAAACTTCGAAGTATAACCGAAGCTAGCACTTTGGCGACAATCGGGATCGAACGCGGTGGTTTTTGCAATCGTCGCGGGATCCTTTCTGCGTCTTAATATTGCGCAGTAGGGTAGTAATAGAGCTTACGAGGTTATTACCCCCCTCCCACCTTGAAAAGAGTGGGAGGGAGCTCATCCGGTCCTGTTGCCTTTCCTCGCTTCAGAGCGTGAATGCAAGACCGAACTTCTGCTTCCATTGGAGGATCGCGTGATACTGCCCACGGAGCTTCAGTTGCAGATGAAGCAGCCTGGTTAGCTTTAGGCCAGCTGAACTGTTCGCTGAAGTATTCTGCCCAGCGATCTAGTCATTGATCCCTATTATGAATAGATTGTTCCATCTCATCGCAAACTGTTTCACTACCGATTTCGCCGACCTCCCGTATCGCATAGCAATCGGAACAGTCTAACTATTCCCTGATGCAGCTGCTACTTCCGTTTCACCTGCTATTATTACCCACCAGTTTTCACGGTCCTTCTTTAGGCTCTTCGTGAACTGACGTTGCAAATACCACCTAACTCTGTTTTTTATCGTGTCTGGTCGAGATTTCTCGCTTTTTCTCCATGAAAACTACTGACTCCTGAGATACTGCTTGTCTCCGACGGGGCTCAGGCCCACAAGCAACATTCGCTCCGGAATGCATTGCTCGCCTAATCTGATCCCACTGCTCATCTGTATCATCACATTGTGGCGTGCTTAGCTCACGCACTAGTTCTGACTGCTGGAACAGATAGTGGATGATGAGCTATACGCGTTTTCTGGTTGTCGCCGACCAGTCAGTCGGAGATTAAACTGCATCAAAACTAATGCGTGATCAGACTCAACACGGGTGGCCCTGTACGACCTGCAATTTTGCATTGAGCCACCCCAACGGTAACTTACTGCGATGAGGTCGATTTGAGTTAGCGTACCAGTTGAACTGGAGCGCCACGTTGCCGTCCGTCAAGAGCTGTGTCGGAAGTTGGTGCTTGATAGGAACAGATGATGATCTGTGCAGAACTGAAGAAGTCGATCGCCGTTATCTATTCGTTGCCAGGGCAGAACACAACTACCGCCTAGGTAAGCTTCTGATGCGCCCAGTTTTCCAACCCGCGCGTTGAAGTCACCTGCAAGTACAACTATGTCGGAGCTTCGATTCATCCGAATGAGATCGGAGTTCGTCATAGAAAGCGTCCTTTTGTGTATCAGAACTACAATTGGTCTATGCATATGCCGATACGATGAACAAACACCTTTTGGTGTTGCTTCCCTATCGGACGCTGATTGAACCCTGGAGGCGCACTGCACTTAGACGACTATTCACGGGGATCCCATCGAGGATAGAAAACTCAGCCCTGTTACTGAGTACAAAACCTACGCCGCGCTAACCTACTGAACGGGCTTCATCGTCGCCTGATGTGCGAAGAACGTACCTCGAGGAAAAATCTGGCGCACTCAAGTGGCTTGTAATAGTAGGATCCTGGATTTGAGTCTCCAACAGGCAACTAATATCGATTCCTAAGGATTTCATCGTACTCGCCAGACAAACTTGTTGACCTACCTGCATCAAGGTTCTCACGTTGAAGGCCCCCAGATTCAGTGATTGACGAGGCTTTAGAATCTGCAATTCGTTCCGTGGTACATTGCAGTGCTATTTGGCAATGACCTTTGGCGAGTGACANAGGAAGGGCAAATGGAGAGGGTTGGGTGCTGAAGACAGAATTAAATAAAGGGAACTTTGAGCAGTAGCCCAATTATCACTACACACCCCGCTCGATGGTCAGCGCGGTCCTGATTATCCTGCGCGATGATCGATGCAGT